CATTTTAGAATTTTCTTTATGTTTCTCTGTGGTGAGTTTGATTACAATGTGTCTTGGTGAGGATCTCTATTGGTCATGTTTACTAGGGGTTCTATGAGCTTCCTGTACTAGGATGTCTCTGTCCTTCTCCAAACCTGGGAAATTTGCTGCTATTATCTCACTAAAAAGGCATTCTAATCCTTTCTCCCACTCCATGCCTTCAGGTACTCCTAGAAGACAAATGTTGGGTTTTTAAATAGTATCCTTGGGCTGGCGCTGCGGCTCACTAGGCTAATCCTCCGCCTTGTGGCACCAGCACACGGGTTCTAGTTCCGCTCGGGACACCGGATTCTGTCCCATTTGCCCCTCTTCCAGTCCAGCTCTCTGCTGTGACCAAGGAGTGCAGTGGAGGATGGCCCAAGTAATTGGGCCCTGCACCACATGGGAGACCAGGATAAGTACCTGGCTCCTTCTTCGGATCAGTGTGGTGCGCCAGCCACAGTGCACTGGCCGCGGCAGCCATTGGAGGGTGAACCAATGGCAAAGGAAGACCTTTCTCTCTCTCTCTCTCACTGTCCACTCTGCCTGTGAAAAAAAAAAAAACATAAAAAAAATAAAAAATAAAAAATAAATAGTATCCTTTATCCCAGCAATATTTTTTAGATTTGTAATTCCTCATTTCTTTGATTTAACTGTATCCTTCCTGTACTCTGTCTTCTAAGTGTGATATTCTCTCTTCGCTTCATTGACTCTGTTTTTAAGGCTCTCTAATGTTTGTCATTTGATCTATTGAGTTCTTCATTCATTTTATTTCTCTTCACTTTCACACTTTCCTGTTCTATGAATTTCTGCATTTCATTTGATTCCTCCTTAAGATTTCATTTTCATGAGAGAGATTTTTCTATCTGTGCAGTAAGGATTTCTGTTTGAAAAATTTGTTTTTGAAAACTTCTAAATTTTCTTATCATAAATTTTTTGATATCCATATCTTGCATTTCTTCTATCATCATCTTCATAATCTTGGCTTCCGGTGTGTGTTCATTTGGGGCATCATAATGTCTTCCTTGTCTTGTTTTCTTGGTTTCTGTGTTGTTGCTTGGTATTCCAGAGATATTCTTTGGATTCTTCTTCCCTCGCTGTGGTGGTTTTTACTTGTTATACTATGACTGTATTAAGTGGACTGTCTGCTTTTGGAGGAGCCTTAGAGGCTTGAGATGGGTGTGGCCAGAGAGCTCTGTTTGGTTCTTCAGGGTTAAGGCTATGCCAAAGGTGACACACTCAGGTTAGGCATGGTAAATCTCATTCTCTCTCTCTGTCTCTCTCTCTCTCTCTCTCTTTGATTCAGAAGGGAAGTAATACTGCACAGATGAGCGGAATGAAGGTAATCAGCTTCTGACCTCTGGCTCCTGTGGGTATATCATTTGTCTGCTCTTTCTCAGAGACCACACAAAGAATCTGTTCTGCCCTCAGTGTGGGGTCAAATTCTCCTGCAGCTCCCACCGGGTTGCCAAGGTTACCAAATTGTAGCATCTCTGGAGAGTACTCATGTGAACTCCATGAGTTCTCTCATCCACCATCTCTTTTTCACCGCCTCAGTCATTAGCTCCACCCATTCACTAGGTCCTAACCTCCTGTTTCACCCCTGCCCTGACTCAGGGTTTTCTGCTTGACTGAGGGCAGGCGTAGCTCTGCGGTCATGTACAGCCCTGAGGTCGTGCAGCTTTTACGTATGTCCAAAATGGCGCCTGTCTTTGTATTGCTCACCTTTGCAAGGTGGGCGGAGAGAGAGAAACCATCCATACAGGTCCTTTTTTTTCCCTTTCCTGTAGTTAGCCTGGTGAACTTTCCCTGGCAGTGCTTCAAGCCTCATTCCCTCTAGGCTCTATGTGCCATTCCCTGCCAATGCCTCACCTCCCTTCCAGCGCAAATGCATAGACTCCAAGGTTGGGTTCCGGAGCTTGGCATCCTTGCTTTCCCATAGGTTGTCCGTGTCACATCCAGTAGAATCAGAAGAGTTTCCTCTGCAATTTTTTCCATGAAAAAATTTTTCGGAAAACTACAGTAACTTTTTCAGTTTTTTTTTTACAGTAACTACAGTAATTTTTCCTGAAACTACAGTAACTCCACTTTTATTAAACTATCTGTTTCTGGACTATCACTGCACATCCCCACTATTCCACCATCTTGGCTCCCCTGAGCTCAAAGATACTGGATCTTATACATTATCTTATAATATACATCTCTGTATTATCACCTACCTATAAGAATTAAAAGTCCTTTCAGAGTCTAAAGTAGAACTTGAAACTCCTGGAAAAAAAGTTTAAAAAACACACTAAATAATGGAGATTGCAAAGCAACATTTAAGAAACAGCTGTGTAACAGCTATACGCAGTATATTAGCCAAAAAAATACACCCTTGCCCTCCCCTAAATTATCTTCTGTACTCAAAAGTCTTTAGGAAAAATACTCATCTTGATGCCAAAATATAAACCAATAGCACTCCTGAATTGATAATAATGCTATCAATGTAATTACTAGTAAAAATAAATGAAGTACAATACAGATTTCTTTCTTACAAACTTATACATTTAAAGTCTGTAGAATAAAAATACATTTACTAAGGAAACTTAAAATGCTAATAATTCCAACAATAAAGATATATTCTTATTGATATAAATAATAATTTAATTCTCACAATATATGTTTCAAAGTTTAGTTATGAAACAATATTTCACCATGATTTAATTGATCATTTGTTCTTCAAAAAAATATAAAACTGATAGAAAACACTAAAATGCATAAGCCATTTAGTTACATGTTAGCATTTTCATAAAAGGGAATTTTCTGTTGGTGACCAAGTCACCACACTAACAACTGGGACAGCCAAGAAAAAATCAGGCAGCAAATAGACCTAGAAGGTTTTCCAGTTCCCATCTCTCCGCTGCTAGAAATTGAGGAAGCAGAGATAAACAGAAAGCAGATTTGGTAGGCAGTGGTCAAAAACAAACGTTAATGAACTTCTAATACACCTTAGAGATTTATCTGAAAATTTATGTTTTAATTGCTAACTTCATGATATGTCAGAAGTTCAGTGATTTAAAACATGAAAAAACAATAATAGCAAAAGGTATTCGTGTCTGCTGCAATACTATCAAACATCTACAAAAATATTTACTTAAGAAACGGGAATATTCATCAAATAAAAGTTAGAACAAATTCACACCTATCAGTTTAAATTGTATAAGAATAAAAATAAATTTACTGAAGAAACTATAAAAAATTCTTACTAATGCCCCAGTGTAAAATGTATGTCCTTACTGATAGAAATTTAATAGACTAATTTTTAAATACATATTTGGGCTAGCGCCATGGCTCACTTGGCTAATCCTCCACCTGTGGCACCAGCAACACGGGTGCTAGTCCCTGTTGAGGCACCAGATTCTGTCCGGTTGCTCCTCTCCAGTCCAGCTCTCGCTGTGGCTCGGGAGGGCAGTGGAGGATGGCCCAAATGCTTGGGCCCTGCCCCACATGGGAGACCAGCAGGAGCACCTTGCTGCTGGCTTCAGATCTGCATGGCAAGCTATTTGGGGTGAACCAATGGAAGGAAGACCTTTCTCTCTGTCTCTCTCTCTCTCTCACTAACTCTGCCTCAAGGGAGGAAGGAAGAAGGAAGGCAGGGAGGGAGGGAGGAAAGAGGAAGGAAAGGAGGAAAGGAAGAAAATACATATTTCAACATTAGTTACACATATAAAAATCATTTGTTCCTCCAACAAATGACAAAGATCAGGATCTGGGACGGGGTGGATGCAGGGTGTCTGTGGCTGCAGACTGTGGGTGCAGGAGTCCCCGTGGGCTCCCTGAGGGTAGTGGGGTGCCAGCAAAACACCCGAACCAAGGTGCGCCCAGGAGCGTGGGAGTCTCGGCCAAAACATCCTGCAGCAGCCTTGGCACTGGCAGGGGCTGAGGCAGCCCGAGGCAGAGCCTGCAGAGATGGGGCGCTGCTGGGGGACTTAGCGGGGATCAGCACTGGGACCAGATTGCAGGGCTTCTCGCGCCGGCGGAAGCGAGTTCGAGAGCGCGTGACCGGCCCTGCACTCCATACCTGCTCTCTAGGCTGCCCGGCAGCTGAGGACCGGGACCCTGAGCAGCCTTGTCAGGGGGAGCCCACAAAACCGTGCAGTCTGGGGGGCAGAATCTCCAAGTTTCCAGATGCACACACGGGACGGGGTGTCCACGGTGATCCCAACGGGCCCGGACCCATGCGTGCTCTCCCCCAAGTCCCCTCCACCCCGAGGCTTAGCGTTCCCGAAGGCCACAAAAGTGAAGGCCGACACTGGGGCCACTGGGCGCACCTGAACAGGGGGCCATGTGTGTGGATGGACAATGTACAGACCGGGAAGACATCTGGAATGTTCCACAGCATCAGGGCTCGGCGTGGTCCTGAAAACACCTGACAGAACTGACATGTGATTTTCGTTGGTCACTGTGGCGCGGCCCTCAGTGACATCTGGAATGTTCCACGGCTTCAGGACTCAGCGAGGTCCTGAAACACCGACAGTCAGAACCGACATGTCATTGTCGTTGTCACTGTGGCCGCCGTGAGCTTCGGTGAGGCTGTTGTGCCCCTGTGCTTCGCGGGGGTTGCAGGGTCGAGAGGGGGAGAATCGTCATGAATTGATGAAGACTGCTGACACTGAGTGAAACAGAACACGGACTTGGCTTCGCTTTCCTCTCGTCCTCACGGGCCCTGGGCAAGCAGGCGAACAGAGAAACAGCGTCTGTGCCAAGGAAATCGTGTTCCCGTAAGGAGCCCTGGATTCCCATTTGGAAAGGACTGAGTACTATTGGGGAGGCCTTGGCGCCGCGTCCCTGGTCAGAGGACGGGCCCGCCTTCTACTGCGTAGACCGGGGAGGCAGCGCCGGGGTTCGGAGGATCCACGCCTGGCTGACCCTGAGCCCCCGCAGCTGTGGGGAGCGGTGGAGGAGAGTGAATGACAGCCAGCGCTCCTGCCTTCTGCCTCTCAGATCTGCCCCGCCCGGAGCGCTGCCATCTGGTCCGCGATTCTCCCACCGCTGAGTGCCCAGCGCTCGCGGGCCTCGCTCTGCTCTGCGCTCTGCAGCCCACACCGGGGTGTGCCGGGCCTGGCACCACTGGTTTGAATAGGCCGACAGCAGGCTGACCCAGTAAATTCGCAACGCCTGTCACTGGCCACTATTTAATTTATTTAGACTCAGAATGACAGGACAGGGAAAGACAGACAGATAGCTCTCATCCACTTATTCACTACCTCAGATTCCTCCAGTGATTGTGGTTGAGCTGAGCCAAATTTCAAAGCCAAGAACTAGGTCTAGCTCTCCCACTCCTATAACAGGGATCCAACTTCTTTAGCCATCACCTAATGCTTCCCAGGTGCAGGAGCATAAATCAGGTCTTGAGCAGAGGGACTCTGGGCATCCTAACTGGGATCCTAACTGCTAGAATCTGAACCCACCTTCCTCCATCCTCTCTTACTTGACTTTCTGCACTGCTCATCTGAATGCTATCCTTGTTCACAGCTTTATTTCTTCTGAAGTCAGTTCCCACTCAACAGCCAGCATGGCTCAATATATGAGGCAGAGAAATGACAACATAGTGGTAGAAACCCTCCAGAACCTCTTCATTTTTTCTGAGAGAAGTAAAAATGCTTACAGTGTTGTGTGGCTGTCTGAGACTTCATCCTCTGTAGCCTGTCAATCCTCCTCTTTGACATGCTGCTGCTTACTCTCTTGGTTCCATGTACTTTCCAGGCTTTCCTGGAATAGCCTGTTTCTTCTATTGTGGTCAAATCGTCTCAGTATTCATGTGACTGTCTTCCTTATCTCCTTTCAAGTCTAGCCTCAAATATCATCTTTCCAATAAGGCCTCCTCCTATTGGCTTACCTAATATCTCATTACACACTCACCCATGAAGAATTCAACCCTAAGTGGCTTGTGCTCCATTTTCTCCCATACACAGTTGATAGTGATCATATAGGTATTCCACTTGTGTTTGTTGACACCATCAATGAAAGTTTCCATTTTTGCAAGTATTACTTTATTTCTTTGAAAACCAGAGTGACAGAGAGATACCTAGAGACAAAAGAGAGATGGTCTATCCTGTAGTTCACTTCCCAAATGGCTTCAACTCCCAAAGCTTAGTCAGGCCTAAGCAAGGAGTCCAGGACTTCATACAGGTCTCCCACGTAGGTGGTGGGGACCAAAGTGCTTAGGCCAACTCCAGCTGCTCTCCCAAGTGCATAAGCAGGGAGCTGGATTGGAAGCTAAGCAGCTGGGAGTTGAACCAGTGCCCCCACCCCAGCCCATGTGATGGCGGTATTACAGCTGCTGATTTAACCCACTAAACCACAATGCTGGCCCCATCAAAGTTTCTTGACTTGATCATGAACCATTTATAACACTCTGACAATTCTCTCCTTTCCACTTTCTTTGTCTTGTTCTTCCAGGCTGTGACTGTGCACATTTTTGAGAAATAAACCAGAATCCTGGATGGGAGACAAAACCCTCAGCATGGCCAGGAACACAGCCTTGCTTTGTGCTCAGCTTCCCTCTGTTGCTCCCTGTACCTCAATGGCCTCATGTCCTCTGTCATTTTCACCTGGTCTTTTTTTTAACTTTTATTTAATGAATACAAATTTCCAAAGTACAGAATACTGATTACAATGGCTTCCCCCCATAACGTCCCTCCAACCCGCAACCCTCCCTTATCCACTCCCTCTCCCCTTCCATTCACATCAAGATTCATTTTCGATTCTCTTTATATACAGAAGATCAGTTTAGCATACATTAAGTAAAGATTTCAACAGTTTGCTCCCGCACAGAAACATAAAGTGAAAAATTCTGTTTGAGTACTCGTTATAGCATTAAATCTCAATGTATAGCACACTAAGGACAAAGATCCTACATGAGGAGTAAGTGCACAGTGACTCCTGTTGTTGACTTAACAAATGGACACTCTTGTTTATGGCATCAGTAATCACCCTAGGCTCTTGTCATGAGCTGCCAAGGCTTTGGAAGCCCCCTGAGTTCACTGACTCTGATCATTTTTAGACAAGGCCATGGTCAAAGTGGAAGTTCTCTCCTCCCTTCAGAGAAAGGTACCTCCTTCTTTGATGACCCATTCTTTCCACTGGGATCTCACTCACGAGATCTTTCATTTAGGGTCTTTTTTTCCCCCCAGAGTGGCTTGGCTTTCCATGCCTGAAATACTCTCATGGGCATTTCAGCCGGATCCGCATGCCTTAAGGGCTGACTCTGAGCCAGAGTGCTGTTAGGACATTTGCCATTCTATGGGTCTGCTGTGTATCTCACTTCCCATGTTGGATCATTCTCTCCCTTTTTGATTCTATCAGCTAGTATTTGCAGACACTAGTCTTGTTTATGTACTCCCTTTGGCTCTTAGTCCTAACATTATGATCAATTGTGAACAGAAATTGATCACCGGACTAGTGAGATGGCATTGGTACATGCCACCTCGATGGGATTGAATTCGAATCCCCTGGTATATTTCTAACTCTACTGTTTGAGGCAAGTCAGCTTGAGCATGTGCCGAATTGCACATCTCTTCCCTCTCTTATTCCCACTCTTATATTAACAGCGTCACTTTTCAGTTAAGTTTCAGCACTTAAGAAGAATTGTGTATTGATTACAGTATTCAACCAAAAGTATTAAGTAGAACAAACAAAAAAAATATTAAGAGGATAACATATTAAGCTGCTCATCAACAGTCAAGGTGAGGGATGATCAAGTCACTGTTTCTCATAGTGTTCATTTCACTTTAACAGGTTTCCTTTTTGGTGCTCAGTTAGTTGTCACCTATCAAGGAGAACAAGTGGTATTTGTCCCTTTGGGATTGGCTTATTTCACTCACATAATATTTTCCAAATTCCTAACAGGGATCACTTTTCAGTTAAAATTTAAACACCTAAGAATAATTTTGTGTTAATTACAGAGTTCAACCAATGGTACTAGAACAAAAAAAATACTAAAATGGATAAAGTATTACATTGTACATCAACAGTCAGGACAAGAGCTGATCAAGTCACTGTTTCTCATAGTGTCCATTTCACTTCAACAAGTTTCCCCTTTGGTGCTCAGTTAGTTGTCGCCAATCAGGGAGAACATGATATTTGTCCCTTTGGGACTGGCTTAATTCACTCAGAATGATGTTTTCCAAATTCCTCCATCTTGTTGCAAATGACTGGGTTTCGTTGTTTTTGACTGCTGTATAGTATTCTATAGAGTACATGTCCCATAATTTCTTTATCCAGCCTACTGTTGATGGGCATTTGGGTTGGTTCCAGGTCTTAGCTATTGTGAATTGAGCTGCAATAAACATTAATGTGCAGACTGCTTTTGTTTGCCAATTTAATTTCCTTTGGGTAAATTCCAAGGAGTGGGATGGCTGGGTCAAACGTAGGGTTATATTCAGGTTTCTGAGGAATGTCCAGACTGACTTCCATAGTGGCTTAACCAGTTTGCATTCCCACCAACAGTGGGTTAGTGTCCCTTTTTCCCCACATCCTCTCCAGCATCTATTGTTGGTAATTTCTGAATGTAAGCAATTCTAACCGGGGTGAGGTGGAACCTCATTGTGGTTTTGATTTGCATTTCCCTGATTCCTAGTGATCTTGAACATTTTTTCATGTACCTTGGCCATTTGGATTTCCTCTTTTGAAAAATTTCTATTGAGGTCCTTGGCCCATCTCTTAAGTGGGTTGTTTGTTTTCATGTTGTGGAGCACATCAATGAAGGAAAATGTCATTGGATGCAATAAGGATATACATCTGTCAATAATTAAGCCAGAACAGAACCCTAAGTCCTTTTTCTCTGTGAGGTTGTTGCTCTCCCTCATTGCTGTAATATACATAGGAACAATACTATTTACCAACAGGTGAAGGGTCCAGCAGAGCAGAATGGAAAGTTGAATGGATTTGAGGGCTTTGACCTTGAGCTCCATCCACTCGGGGCTGCTAAGGCTGATTGTGATGGCCTGGAAGCCACTCAGGAGAGAAGTAGCACTCAGAGACACCCCTCTGGCCACTCTGTGAACATAGAAAACTAGTTTGCATCCAAAATCGTCCATGAGATATTTCAGCCCAAAAGCTGCCATGGTCTGAGGAATGCCTCTCGAGAGCAGAACCAAGCAGTTGGCTACAATTAGGTTATGGAGAATCAAATCCATGTGCTTTATCCCTCGTCCAGTGCAGGAAAGGAAGCCATAGCAGAGAAGGAGCAGGATGTTTCCTAGGAATCCGACTCCTGTCTGAGAGACAAAGATGATTCCCATGGTCAGAGCCCTGGATGGCAAGCAGTCACAAGGGCAGTAGTTCACGCAAAGCCAGTGAGTCATGGAAAGAAATGGAGCTAATGTAGTTCATCAAGGTAGCTTACGTTTATTTCTTACTTCCACCCATTTTTTTCCCACTCAGAAAAGCCTGCTAGCAAAATACATTGTTCAATAGTCCAATCCTCCACCTGCAGCGCTGGCACCCTGGGTTCTAGTCCTGGTCAGGGCACCGGATTTTGTCCTGATTCTTCCTCTTCCAGTCCAGCTCTCTGCTTTGGCCCGGCAGTATAGTGGAGGATGGCCCAAGTCCTTCGGCTACACCCACATGGGAGACCCGGAGAATCAGTGGCTCCTGACTTTGGATCAGCACAGTTAGCTGGCCGCAGAGGCCACTGGGGGGTGGAATGGAAATTAAAGACCTTTCTCACTATCCACTCTGCCTGTCAAAAAAAAAAAAGAAAAATACGTTCTTTGTATTTTTTAAAAGATTTATGTATTTGAAAGTCAGAGTTGTACATAGTGAGGAGTAAATGGAGAGAGAGAGAGAGAGAGAGAGAGAAAAGTCTTCCATCTGTTGATTCACTCCCCCAATTGGGCTCAATGGCTGGAGCTGTGCCGATGTGAAGTCAGGAGCCAAGAGTTGCTTCCAGGTCTCCCACATTGGTGCAGGGACTGAAGGTCTTGGGCCAGCTTCTACTGCTTTACCAGGCCTTAGCAGAGCACCAGATCCTAAGTAGAGCAGCCAAGATAGGAACCAGCACCCAAATGGGATGCTGGCACTGCAGGTGGCGGCTTTACCTGCTATGCCACAGCACCAGCCCTGGTATTTTCTTAAGATGCATTTGGATGTTTGTTGTATGTGTATTCTTGTGGGGTGTGTGTGTGTGTGTGTGTGTGTGTGTGTTTTGGTGACATTTTTCTAACATTTTTCCTCCGTATTTATCTTGTTCCTGTAATATATCATTTTCTTGTCTCATTGTGTTATGACATCCTTCTACATAGTCTTTGTTCAAACACTCCTCTGCTGACCTCATTATTCCATAGAGCAGTCTCATATTTGTATGAAAAATCAGAAATTCAAATTGCAAATGGATGCACAATTTTGTAGGAGAAGAGTGACTGAATAATTCATTATGAAAACATTAAATTATACAGTCTTAGTGCAGTTCTGTATTAAAATGGTGAAGCCAAAGATTTACTCTTATTTCATTTGGACACAAATGTACTATGACCACAATCACAGCAAATACTTAGACATGAATGTACCAAGATAACAGCACATGCACATTAAAATATAAAATACTATAAAGAAAACATCAAAAGACTCTATTTGTACAAAATTCAAGTCTCTTTAGTAGAAGATTAATTAACATTTTAGTAGAATTAATGATGGTCAAATAAAATAAAAGACAAAGTCTATAATATCCATGCATTTCAATATCAGTCATCATAAAAAATATATTTAAGGCTCTTAAGTACATCTTGAAATTCCAAAGTCTGAATCATGACAAAAAGAACCAGAATACAGAGCAATAAGATAGTAGACACCAAAGTACCAGAAAGTGACAACATAATTCTGAAGGCATTAATAAAATTCATAAAAGACAGAGGCACAGTGCCGTGAGCTGGGACCAATTTTGATGGCGCTCCAGTGTTACACAACACAACTGTAGCATCATTACATTTCTAATCAGCTCTCAATATATCTGAATTATTTAACCTAAATTATGTACATGGATAACTAGATGAATACGAACTAGCAAGTTATAAAAGAGTTTTTGAAGAATAATTTAAAACATAAATGTGAGCAACATTTTGTGCTTTATCCTTTATCAAAATATTCCATGAAGTTTATGCACTCAACTGTGGTGCTTCTGTAAAACAAAGGAAGCCTAATGTAAGTTCACATCGCGTTGTTACAGAAATAGAAGGAATTCTGATTACTTAACCCAGCTAGGGTAGTAGACAGCATCTGATCAGGTGACGTACCCAAGGAGGTGTCTTGTCAGATGGTGGCACATAGTGATGTGGGGGACAGTGGAACTCTTGAGCACTGTAGAACACCAGTGGAAAAATTAGAAGAAATATATATTTTACAGCTTCTTCAGAGGAGCAATGCCAAAGCACTCTATATCACAGGTAAGTCATGCTCAGGCCAAACCAAGCACACTATATAGTCATGCATGGGGCAGTTTGATGAACTCAGACAGTGTGTTGAATTATATATGTATATGTCAAAATATCAGTGAACGTGTCAGAGTTCCTGTTCTCACCAGTTAACTGAAAATAAGTTTTATCTTCTTGTTTTTTCTCCTTTTTATAAAACTGCAGAATTTGGCTTCATAGACATTAATTTTTCTCCAAGCCTATTACTTTTATTAACATACACCAATATGCATCACTCCACTATAGCTGTTAGAGAAATTAAATATGTTCTTCTCCCTAGCAATACACAGATGCTATGTCTCCATCTCTCACACACACAAATGCACATCCATATTCAGCTCTTTATTGAATCAACTGATTAAGGAGACTGGAAGGCATTGGCAACTATCAATGAGGAAACTGAATTATGCTGAGGCCCAGGAAGGCAGTAGAGGATGGCCCAAGTGCGTGGGTCCTGCATCCGCATGGGAGACCAGGAGGAAGCACCTAGCTCCTGGCTTTGGATCGGCACAGTACGCCGGCTGTGGTGGCTATATGGGGGGTGAACCAACAGAAAGAAGACCTTTCTCTCTGTCTCTCTCTCTCACTGTCTAACTCTGCCTGTCAAAAAATTGAATTAAAGTGTGAATAAATGGACTTAAGATGCATTAAAATGATTTTGGAAACTAGGTAAAAATATCAGAGTTCATTTTAGAATCAATATCAGTTAAAGATGCTGGATGGTTTTGCACAGACATCTGTATTGATGAAATCCTTTGTCTCTTTAAGACTACTTTCCTTTTCTCATTCAAGAGGGGAAAATTCTTTTACAGACCATGCTTCTTGAGAGAGAAACAATCACTGTCTCTTTTAATCAAACCAGGGTCTCAGAATCAGAATAACATAGTTTTCAAATTCCACAAATGATCATTTTCTTACCTAGTGACTGCTCACGAGGTGAGGAGTTAGTTAGCAAGTTTTATGATTCCTTATCACACACATGGAAATAATAAGTGTATGACTCCTGAAATTCCTGCAAACCCAAACCTACGACCTTCTCATTGCCATGTTCCACACTGAACCAGCATCACAGGTGATCACACTACTGAAATGAGAGATCAGAGACAGACAAGGAGCTTCTTACCTGCAGCTGCTTTTGAGAAGTCTGGGTTATGGCTTAGCAGCCATCCCTCCCTCCTCTTTGGAAGCTTATTTACACTCCAGTGCTGCCTTTGTCATGGATCTCAATGTTTCTAGGTATCTTCCCTTTCTAGACTGATTCAGAGCCATTTTCTATGGAGCTTCTGTCCCCAGATGAAGTGTAGTCCCTAAAAGGATGTCTTTTTCCAGGAGGATGGCCCAGTGATGACAGAACATGGGTTGTGGGGAGGCTGCAAGACCCAGAAGAGATCATTTAGAATTCTCTAACCTGGGTTCCCTCTAGAGCTGTGATTATCCTGCACCTGTTTCAATGATGAGAGTGACGCTTGGGGCCAGGGCAACTCTGAAAAACTGTTGTCTCTCCTACCAATTGCCAGAAACAATTCCTAGTGGTTACTAGTCTCTCCAAAGGATCAGAAAGTAACAGTTTGAGAAAAACTTGACTGTGTTCCATTGAAACTGACAGTCCTCTCATTTGGGGACAGAGATTTGTGTTGTGAGACTGCAAACCAGAGTGCTCACCATGCGGCTACCTATGTTCATGCTGAGGTTTGACCCTGACCCTCATTCCTGAGAAAATAGTGTTAGGAAAGAACCCAAAAGTAAGCAGGTTGCTAGGTAAGGGGGAGGAAGCCTGGGAAAGCACAGTAGCAACTGCAGGACTAAGTCCTCTCATCCTGAATGGCTGCCTCCCACCACCCTCTTTCAGTTGAGTTTCTGCAGTGCACGTCAACCTGGCTTCCTTGCACCACCTTTGTTGCTTTGGAAGTCAGCTCTCAACCCAACAGCCAATGTGACTCAGTGTATGAGGCACAAATGATAATTTCTGGTTATGCCCCGCAGTATCCATGTTTTCCTTAGGAAAGTAACCTATGGTATCTTATGGAGCCTCAGAGCTACTCCTGCGTTGCCTGTCTAACCTCTTGTTGTCCACGCTGCTTCTCATTTTCCTGGTTCCATATACACCAGCTGCCTGGCTCTGCTGGAACAACTTGTGCCTTATTTTTGGTCATATCCACCTAAATATTCACATTAAGTCTTGTTCATCTGCTTTCATTCTCGAGTCCAATATCATTATTTTTTCTTTTCTTTTTAATTTATTTTATTTATTTTAAAGACAAAGTAACAAGAGAGGCAGACAGAGAGAGAGGTCTTCCATCCTCTGGTTCACTCCCCAGTTGGCAGCAATGGCGGAACTGCGCTGATCCAAAGCCAGGAGCCAGGAGCTTCTTCTGGATCTCCCATGCAGGTGCAGGAGCCCAAGGATTTTGGCCATCTTCTACTGCTTTCCCAGGCCATAGTAGAGAGCTGGATCAGAAGAAGCAGCCTGGACCTGAATCGGCATCCCTATGGGATATGGCACGCAGGCTGGGGCTTAACCCACTGTGCCACAGTGCCAGCCACCCAGTATCATCTTTTCAATCAGGCCTGCACTTACTACTTTTTTTTGACAGGCAGATTGGACAGTGAGAGAGACAGAGAGAAAGGTCTTCCTTTGCCATTGGTTCACCTCCAATGGCCGCCGCGGCCAGCATGCTGCAGCCCTGTGCCGGCGCCGCAAGGCGGAGGATTGCCTAGTGAGCCGTGGCACCACCTACACTTACTACTTTACATCCCACACGCACCCCTGCACTATGCATCCCCTGATTAGCTTGTTGTCAGTTTTTTCCTGTGATACATCTCAGACACGAGACAATGGTAAATACACATGAAGTATTCCACAAGTGTTTATTGAAACACTGAAGGAAATTTTCTTGACTTTCTCCTGATTCATTAGCAACATTATTTTAATTCCCCCTTTCCTTTTCTTTGTCTTATTCTTTAAGGCTATTACTGGGCATAGTTCTGATGAACAAACATATTCATAATGTTCGTAATTGGGAGACGAAACCCCTGGTCAGACAGAAACACAACCTGGCTTTATCTTCGGATTTCCCCTCTCACTCCTTCCATCTTACTGCCCTTATATCATCTGTCATTTCCACCTGGTCTCTCTC